TATTAAATATATAGCATTTCTGTAAAAGAGACTGAATAAGTTTCAACTATTAAGAGTCACAATATAGCTCAGAAAACAACTAGAGAAATTGCAGTAAAAACTAAAATTAATTTTTACAAAAATCAGTTTCAAAGTAGCTCCTCCCACAAGACACAAGAAAATGGAAAGACACCTGACAGACACCACTTTAATAAAGTGACTGTAAGGTTAAAACCACTGGTAATATAAAGATCTTATACCTCATATGTGCGCTGCTAAGGGCACATCAATTCTATGGTATTCTTAACAAAAATAAATATATTTATCAGAGTAAGAAAAAAGTGAAAAATATGAAATGGGAGGAAAGGAAAAACTCTGTGAAGCTGAATTAGAAATTGAAAGTGTATGATCTCAATTTCTAAAATATATATTTACATAAAATGTGAGGCAGGGGTGCGTGGGTGTGTGTGTGTGTGTCCTTGCTTTGCCAGCTAAAAGGGCCTAGGATCAGCCATATCCCAGGAGCAATAAGCATACATAGTTGTTATATCTAAGTTTCTAAGTACCATTCCCCCTAAAAGGAATCAGGCTCCTTGGAGAAATGGTTGATTCCAGGGCTCAGGAGGGGAAAGAATAAAATTAGTCTGGAACATCTTGTTTTACTAGAAAGTGAGGAAGTGCTCAAAAAATGTTGGTGTATATCAAAATGACACAGGAACCAGATTTGATGGGGCTCCCCAAAGCCAAGTCTCAGACAATTTTAACATCAATATAAATACGTCCAGAAACATTATAATCCACACAATAAAATAGAAACCTAAGAGTCTATATTTAAAATACAGCCACATGGATGGTATATGATAGATACATCAACAACGAGTCCCTCAGATGTGATACTCTAACAAGGACACATCACTTTCTAGTATTTTGGCTGGATAAAGAACCTCAATCTAATCATTGGAAAACATTCTATAACACACACGTGCACATACATACTTCCACTCACTAACTTTTTTTATTATGGGGAATTGATCTCATAACATTATCTGAAGGTAGAGATCATGTCTTTGTATCTTCATCTACCACAATGAATGATAATTAGAAAGAGCTTAGCACATGCTAGTTGGATGGATACTCTCTGACTAAACTGTAGACCAGAGGTGGGAAACCTTTTTCTGCCAAGGGCCGTTTGGATATTTATAACATCATTCTTGGGCCATACAAAATTATCAACTTAAAAATTAGCTATGAAAAAAGCTCCTAGATGTACTGAATTTCGTTGGAGTCCCGCCTGAGGCTGGCTTGGCAGGCCTGCAGGCCGGACGTTCCCTATCCCTATAGATGCTAAGTCCCAGACAGTGTCTGTGTTCATCTATGTTTCCAGCCCCAAGCACAGTGAAGACACAAAGGATAATGGTTAAAAGAATAATGAATTTTTAAACTAAGTAAATGGAATTTGTACATGAGTTATATTCTACACTCGTCTCAGCCAAATTTTCTAAAGTAAACTTTTTTCAAAACCTTTTAACACTATAAAACCAGAGAATTTGAAATTAAAAAATTACTTCAAATATACAAATAGTTGTACATTAACTTTAAAAAGTCTTTTACCACAAAAGGAAAACTACAAAAATTAGTTGAAGTGACAAGATTTATGGAGACATTCCAACTAGAACCCAACTTTATTGTTACAACCAATTTTTTATTTACAGAATATAAATCTCTTCAAAAAGATACATTCCTTCATTAATCAATGGTAAAAGGCCTTATTAAACAGAAATAAAGCCTAAACATCACTTATATTTAAACAGAAATACAAAGTTTCATTAAAAGTTTATGAACAAAGAGCAAAAACATATTTTTACTTAAGCAGTTACATGAATGAGGCTGTTTTTAATTTTCTTCACTGGCAACCCCATTTTATCCACAGAACAAATTTTACTTAAATAAACAGTAGTAAAAATGTAAAAATTAAGTCTTAAACATGAAAATATGCAACAAAAAACAGGAAGTATCTTCACTACCAAACAGATTAACAAGTTCTCAGAATCTCAGATACTTTCTGAGGCATATCAAAACACCTCCATCAAAAGTTGCGTTCACTTGAGAGGTATCAATACATGTTCAGTGCTGAGACTATTTGTAGCACTTACAGTATATACAAAGCAGCATTATACTACTATGGTTCACATTTGATAAACACAAATTTAAGCTTTATGCCAATTTCCCAATTTAACATACAACTAAATGCAATGACAATTATTCATTTTGGTTTTCTTCTTCTGAATCTGAATAAGAAAATTATCAGTTAAGAGCATGGAATACGCCATGTCTTCTTTCTTACAACGGTATATTTTAAAATTCAAATATTTCATATCACGGAAATTTATCCCAGCTGTACAAAGGCTCCTAAATACAGTACAGTTTAAAAGTTTCCTCTTCACAAATTCCACCAATTTATAGTTACTTTAGTACAAATAACAGGAAACTTCTTCAGATTTTTGGACAACAAAAATTTCAGTGTGTCACTACCGAAACTAAAGTAGCAGCACACCACAACCACGGCAAGTAAATTCTCTCATCTCCTCCACTGCTTTTGGGGGGTTCTTTTCCAGGCATGTGAGCTAGTTTACATGGATACCATCACGTCTCAACCTAGCTTTGAAAGTTTCTTTGTTAGAGTTTTAAAATTTTAATGTAACAATTTAAATCATACAGCTTTTTCTTATTCATCACTGGTTTAAACACAGTATGTAACCTTTTCAATTTTTATAAGTATCTTGTAAGTGTTTTGTTAAAATGATTAATGGGTATTTATACCATTAATGGATAAGAAATAAACAAAAATATGCCTACATTAAGAGTATTTCACAACAATTTTTTCATAACTAGAAAAGCTATAGGATTCATAATTAACACATTTTATTTTAACCTTCTGTTTGATAACATCAGTAGCATAGTAAGTGCATAGGAAAGAAGAGAAAGCAGATTTCAGGACAGAAACCTACTAAAAACTTTAATTTTGGATTCCCAACACAAATGGGTATTCTCTGTAAGCACTACCATTATTTTTTCCATTGAAATAGTTGAAATCTCCTATTTCAAATTATGATCCAGAAATGAAACTTTTAGCATAAAAATTGTGTTCCGAAAAATCTAATTCATAATGTAATGTATCTTATTAATTTCAGTTTTCAAGATTTCAAGTAATGCAAACCCAAGCATTTTCTTTTACAGTAACACATTTTAGAGACTAAGCTTCAAAGATGGGGGGAAATTCACTTAAAATAATTGATATGCTATTCTATCCCAAGACATCAAACCCAAAACGAAACACTGTAATCACACAGGTGGTATGTAAGAAGAAAAAGGCAGTTCAATATAACTTTCTTTTTAAAAAAGAAACAAAAACAAAACAGACTGCCTTATGTAACTAAGTTTCCAGTCAAAGAATATTCTAAAATTTAATGAACTAAAGGAAAGTCAGAGCAAATTAATTTTGAAATAAAGATAAAGCTGCTTTACCACATACTTATATTTCCATTTTCCTCTGTGCATAACAATTACTAGCATTTGCCTTTTGTGTAAAGTACTGCAAGTTGCTGCCAATTACAAAACTCTCCCTGTTAGCACAAAGCATTGTTAACTTTGTCTATCAACTGAAGTCTGTATCACTTTGGAATGCAGTATAAAATGCTTATTAAAGGCAATTTAAAGCAGAAAAATCAACTGATAGTATTCTCATTTGTATTACAAAGGAATTAAAAATGGTACAGAAGGCTTTGTGTAATGTAAAAAAGAAATACCTATATAATTATTAATGTGGAGGCTTTTAACTTGTAACAAAGTATCTGGGGGACTTTTTTTCTTTAGTTCTGGAAGCTTTGGTAACACATTTATGAAGTTAAAATAAATATTTTTAGCCCTGCAAAAATGGAAATAGCAGTCATTAAAAGACTACTTATGTCCTTTTGTTGTTTGCAATCCCATAATAAACAACTTTACATTTAGAGAAGCCAACTGAGATATGCTTCAGCTGAACTACGAGTTATTATTTATCATACCTCTTGTAACATGGGATTTAGATTCACACTGAGATATCAAAAACTTCCTGTTTTTTGTTTTTGTAGAAAAAGGTTAACAACCTTGAAAACAGGATAGGATAATACTTCAGTTTGCAATCACTGAATTATATTTTTAATTTGCTTTAGCTTGGAATCATGGAATGGAACTCTAACAGTGTATATTAATTGACCACTTGCAGGAATCTAACCTCACAAAAACGAATGAACAACTAAAGAATGAAGAAAAGTCATATTAGGCACTGAGAGGCTAAATAAATAAGTACTGACGTTAACAAAAACTGATAAACCCTATTTCCAGTTCCTCTTGTTATCCTACTGTGCAGCCAGAACTGCTGGCTGTTTCCAGTCCAAAACCTAAGAACTGGGTCAGTTCCTTACAGAAAATTTTCTAAAACAGGGAAGAAAATGCAAAACAATACACAATCTCATATGCAAGATACAATTCACACTAATTTACAAATTTTTATTTACACTGTTTTATATACATTCCAGGCAGACCTAGTTGACGTGTTTTGTGCTCATTTTGATCTCAAATGATCATGTGAACAGTATTGGTTTACTACATCTCTTTGATTTCTGGAAAATGGTGGTAGCATGGGGTTTGGGGG